ATCTGATGCGCCGCGTACCGAACCGCAAACGGCCACAGAAAATGGGGGGCAGCCGCATGCATCATGGACGTACGAGCGACGTCCATGACCATGCCAATGCGGCGCTCAGCAATCCCATTTTGCTGTGGAGAGTCCGGAAGCGTAAAGGTCTGGCGGATGCCTCGTGCACGACAGTAGGCTCGCAGAAGGCCAGAGGAGAACTCTCCACCTCGGTCAGAGTGCAGACGCAGAACAGGAAAGTCCGAGCCGAAGCTCCTCCTGAGCTGGAGACGAGCTGCGCGGATCCAGTCGATCAACACCTCAGTGACATCACCCTTGCTGCGCAAGGGGAAGACTGTGGTGTAACGCGAGTAGTCGTCAACCACCAGCAGGAAGTAGCGCTCGTGACCCTGCCCACGGACGCGGGCCGGGCCCCACACGTCCATGTGAAGCGTCTGCAGAGGAGCCTCTGTCGGGGGAAACTGGGAGGAGTGAGGGGCAGCCCGGAGCCGCCCCTCGACACAGGGGACACAGGAAGGTCCGGGTCCCGAAGGAAGGGGAGGGAGAGACCGGGGAAGACCAGAGACAAGGACACGGGAAGCCATGCCCCGAAGACGAGGCAAGGAGGGGTGGCCAAGACGGTGGTGCCACAGGAGAGTCTCCTGAGACAGGCGGCGACACGAGCAGGGGGCAGACTCAGGACCAGACCTGGACGCAGCAGCAAACACCTGACCCGACACAGCTACCTGGCCAGACGCAGGGACAGGAGGAGACTCAGTGGTCAGGGTGTAGAGACTCGACCCCGGCCGACGCGAAAACGTGGCCAGGTGTCGGCCTGTGCGGGCGTCCGAGCAGTGGGTCACCCGCTGACTCGCAGGAGTAAACTGGTGAACCCCCGCATCCTGCAGGTCAGCACCACTCACCAAGTTCGTCGAGAACGAGGGGAGGTACAGACCAGACAAGGTGCCCGAGGGGGCAGCCGGACACGGGAGGACAGTGGAGAAGTGAGAGAGGACAGGACCCCCAGAGGGGTCAGCCAGGGAGACTGCAACCGGCCGGCCAAGCGGCGTGAGTGTGGTGCGGTCTCGAAAGAAGGAGCGAGAAGCCCCTGAGTCAAGCGTGAAGGTGAGGGAGGCCGAAGCCGACGCAGTACCTGAGAGCGCAGCCTCACCAGTACCTGAGAGTGCAGACGCACTGGCACCTAGAGCAGCAGCCGCAGAAGTACCTGGCGCAGCAGTACCCACGCCCGGGTCGGGCGGGAAACACCGGTAACAGTCACCCTCCTCACTAATAGTCACAGCATACATGGCAGCAAGGATAGCATCAAAGTCAAGATCAAAGATAGCTACGCCAGCCCTAGACAGCTCTCCCCAACGGGGAATCTCACTGGCCTCGGGGAACTGCTGACGCCAAGCGTCCGTCAGGCGGCCAAAGCAGCGCTGGGTGGGGTGGGCACCCCCACACTGCTCACCCGCGCGGTCGCCGGAACGAAGGACGTAGGTGCACGGACCAAAACCCCCACCCCGCTGACGCTGCGTGTACCACTCACGGAGCTGCTGGGGCGGGGGGATGTCCCGCGAACGCTGCTGCTGCTGCTGCTGCTGCTGACGCTGGCCACCACCAGAGCCGCTACGCTGCGGGGCACCACCCCGACCAGCTCCACCCCCTCCGCCACCGCCGCCTCCACCTCCACCACCACCGCTGCCTCCGCTCCCACCGCTGCCGCCACCACCGCCTCCTCCTCCGCTGCTGCCACCGCCACCACCGCCCCCGCCACCACTCCCACCGCCACCCCCACTCCCTCCGCCGCCTCCACCGCCACCTCCACCGCCCCCGCCAGTTCCACCCGCGCCCTTGCCCCCCTTGCCCCTGCCAGGGCGGCGTCTCCCGCTAGGGGCAGACGCCGCGCAGACCGACTCAAGACCAAGCAGGTCGGCAGCAGCAGCAGAGGCAACAGAGGGCAGCAGGGGGGAAGGAGAACACCCCTCAAAGATGGGGGTGCGAGGGTCACCACGAGAGGCTCCTACAGCGACGATGCTCTTCTCCGCCGCCAGGAGGGACTTCTCGAGGAGGTCGACAGTGAGAGTGGTGGGACAGACTGAGAGGAAGTGGTCCCTGACTACGCGAAGGGAGTCAGGGAGGCGTGTGACTATGTAATAGAGAGTGATGTACATGGGGGGGGGGTTCTTGGCGCAGAACTCAGCAGGAAGGGCGGCGCGGTAGCGAGTGTCACTAGTGCGGAGGTGCGTAATGAGGTCAGCGACAGTGGGAAAGGCAGTAAGGTCAGGAAAGAGGTACGGTAGCATGAGGCGGCTCAGGGCAGCAGTGGCAGGGGAAGAGTAGCGCGCAACTACAGCGTCGTACAAGGTCTGAGCACTCTTGTACTGACTAAAGTGCGCGCGCTCAGTGGTAGGCAGGTGGCGACGCACAGCAAGACGTGCAGCAGCATCGCGGGTGGCCCACTGAGAGCGAACAGTGGGGTCAGCATCAGCAGCAGGGGCAGGAGAGGCGCCAGAGGTGAGGTCAAAGAGGGAAAGACCGTCCGCCCTATCGCACTGTAAGAACAGCTGCAGGTCGTCGACCCAGACCTCAAAGTCAATGGCTCGACCCTCAGCGTCAAAAGCGAGGACACTAGGGGTAGCCATGACGACGACAGTGTAGTAGTGCAAGCAGTAGGGGAAGGGCACGCAGTAACAGTGGTGCTGTGCTCACCAGGCAGGGCAGGTCGGGCGGCTCGGCAGTAGGGCGGCCCGGCAGCTGGGCGGCTCGGCGGCTCGGCTGCTGGGCGGCTCGGCTCCCGGGCGGCTCGGCGGCAGGGCGGCTCGGCGGCAGGGCGGCTCGGCGGCTCGGCTCCCGGGCGGCTCGGCGGCAGGGCGGCTCGGCGGCAGGGCGGCTCGGCTCCCGGGCGGCTCGGCTGCTCTGTTGCTGGGCGGCTCGGCTGCGCTGCTGCTGGGCGGCTCGGCCGCTGTAGAGGAGTGGCGGGGCCGCTGCAGAGAAGGGCGGCGGGGCCGCTTGATAGGGCGGCGGGGCCGCTGATGGGGCGGCGGGGCCGCGAGGAAGGGCGGCGGGGCCGCGCGATGGGGCGGCGGGGCCGCGAGGAAGGGCGGCGGGGCCGCTAGATAGGGCGGCGGGGCCGCGCGATGGGGCGGCGGGGCCGCGAGGAAGGGCGGCGGGGCCGCTAGGTAGGGCGGCGGGGCCTCGCGATGGGGCGGCGAGGCCGCGAGGTAGGGCGGCGGGGCCGCGCAATGGGGCGGCGAGGCCGCGAGTAAGGGCGGCGGGGCCGCTAGGTAGGGCGGCGGGGCCGCGCAATAGGGCGGCGAGGCCGCGAGGTAGGGCGGCGGGGCCGCTAGGTAGGGCGGCGGGGCCGCTAGGAGAGAGGCGGCGGGTCCGCGAAGACGGGCGGCGGGGCCGCTGAGACGAGTGGCGGGGCCGCAGTGAAGGGCCGCTAGGGCGGCTCGACGGAGTGAGGGCCCGGAGCGCGACTCGGGCTGAGCGCGCTTTGGGCAGGAAAAAAAAAAATCGATGTGGTGGGCCCTAAGCACAGTTCCCAAGGGGGAACCTGCTCGATACCATGAGAAGATTTGAACAAGAATGAATGAACTATGAATGAAGTGAGTACATATAGGAAACCCTAATTGGGTTGTACCCCCTATGGGATACCCCACTATAGCCTACACAACAGCATAAGCTATATATATGTTCTGACAATTGGCACAAATCTCTTAAATCCATGGAGTGGCAGCACCCTGAAATGCATAGAACAACACCAAAAGGAGGGTAGCAAATCACAGCACGAAGCAGGGAGATTAACCAAAGAGCATTCAGTCCAATGTAAAGACTTGCTTTTGTGTACCACCTCACATCATCAATGAAAATATAAGGATATTATTTATTGATGTTATTGATGCAAAGAATCTGGCATCGCCACCACCTGGTTAATCTTTGCTCTGCCCTAAATCATGTTTAGTCACTTGCTGTTGGAATTGTGTGCACTAGTGTGGAGATTGTGGTTCAACACGGTTCAGTTCTGAGCGATGTGGGTGTGACATGAGGTGAGCGACATGATGCTAAAGCACCACCCACCAGGAAACTTCCTCCTGAAGCGCCACCCACCTGGAAGCTTCCTTCTCAAAGGCCATGCCACGCACGTTGTCGCTCTTAAATAGCAGAAGGCAGGGCTTTCTGTCCTCTCTGGCCGCCCACGGGCCAAAGAAGGTCACTCGCCGCGCGTCCTGCATGTGCTGGCGCATGCTGGGCAGCAGGTGCAAGCCTGGGAGAGGCACGGGGTGCAGAGAGCACATGAGATGGCAAGAAGAGAAACATTTGGTAGCCAGAATGCATGGGCACATGAGACAGAAGTCAGGTGCGAGAATGAGACAGCAGTCAGGGCGTACGACTGTGGAACGAGGAGGAGTGCAATAGCATTCTAACATGAAAATAAAAGCTCACAAGAAACTGGAAAACGAATGGAGGTGCTATGGACGCATGCGCGTCGCTATAGCACGAGCATGCGAGTTGCTAGAGCACAAGCATGCGCGTTGCAAGAGCACAAGCATGCGCATTGCAAGAGCACAAGCATGCGCGTTGCAAGAGCACAAGCATGCGCATTGCAAGAGCACAAGCATGCGCGTTGCAAGAGCACAAGCATGCGCGTTGCAAGAGCACAAGCATGCGCGTTGCAAGAGCAAAAGCAAAGCCGTCACTGCCTCCACGCATATGCGTTTTGGCTTCATGCACGCACATGCCACTCTTCTGTAGTCCAGTGGTGAGTTCATTGAGGGGAGATCATGCAGGAAGGAGCTGTAGGCAACGAGTTGGAAGGGCGTGTCTGGGCGGCTCAGCACCGCGCCTCCCAGAAGACTCGTGTTGAACATCCACGCTGGCAGCACCTCGTGCATCGACCCCATGTGTGCCACGTACGTCAGATTGAAGGCAAACGCCCTGCCGCCCCTGGTGACGTTGAACCTGGGAGGGGAAACGGAAGGTGCAGCGCTCTTTGAGAGTGAAACCTAAGACCCATAATGGGACAGGAGAAGAAGAGAGCGAGGCTGCTGGCATGGTGCGTGAGGCATGGTGCAGGAGGCATGGTGCAGGAGGCATGGTGCAAGAGGCATGGTGCAAGAGGCATGGTGCAAGAGGCATGGTGCAAGAGGCATGGTGCAGGAGGCATGGTGCAGGAGGCATGGTGCAGGAGGCATGGTGCAGGAGGCATGGCGCAGGAGGCATGGCGCAAGAGGCATGGTGCAGGAGGCACGGTGCAGGAGGCACGGTGCAAGAGGCATGGTGCAAGAGGCATGGTGCAAGAGGAATGGTGCAAGAGGCATGGTGCAGGAGGCATGGTGCAGGAGGCATGGTGCAAGAGGCATGGTGCAGGAGGCATGGTGCAGGAGGCATGGTGCAAGAGGCATGGTGCAAGAGGCATGGTGCAAGAGGCATGGTGCAAGAGGCATGGTGCAAGAGGCATGGTGCAGGAGGCATGGTGCAGGAGGCATGGTGCAGGAGGCATGGGGCAGGAGGCATGGCGCAGGAGGCATGGTGCAGGAGGCATGGTGCAGGAGGCATGGTGCAGGAGGCATGGTGCAAGAGGCATGGTGCAAGAGGCATGGTGCAGGAGGCATGGTGCAGGAGGCATGGTGCAAGAGGCATGGTGCAAGAGGCATGGTGCAGGAGGCATGCATCTGTTCAACAATCTCAAGGGGACGAACCCTTTGCAGGGTGAGCCGTAGTACAAGGTGTCCGCTATATGGGGTCCGTGCATGGGCCTTTGCACAGGAGTCTGCACAGGCATCTGCACATGCATATGGGGTCCGCGGCTCACCTCGTGTGTATAAAGCCGTGGTAGGGCAAGCCATCCGCTATATAGGTTCCGCGCATGAGCATTTGCACAGGCATTTGCACATGCATATGGGCTCTGTGGCTCACCTCGTGTGTATAAAGCCGTTGTAGAGCGAGCCATAGAATATGGCATCCTGGTCCGCTATATAGGGTCCGCGCACATGCCTCTGAAAGAGCTGGTCGAATCCACTCTCCACGCTGTCATTGAAAGGGCTCGGCCCTTTTTGGGGAGTGGCATAGAAGCCGTGGACGCCCTTTTGGGGCCAGATACGGCCGCACCAGGGGCAGACAGGCAGATACGGCCGCACCACGGGCAGACAGGCAGACAAATGCCACATAGGTTGGTTTGAAGAGTGAAATGGGGTGGGCTGGGCACACAGAGGCGCGCATGAAAAGACAGTACAATTTAGTACAATTTAGTACAAGACAGTACAAGACAGAACAAGACAGAACAAGACAGAACAAGACAGAACAAGACAGAACAAGACAGAACAAGATAGAACAAGACATTCCTGGTACAGAGCATGCATGGTGTTGAGTGGCTACTGGCTTGCCTTCATGTCGACCTTCTCGGAGTCAACAAAGGCAGCACGTGATTGTGCGCGGAGGAAGACCTGCAGGAAGCCGAAGAAAAAGCGGATCTCTGAGTCGCCTGCCATAGGAGGGTTTGAGAAAGGGGGGGGTGACAAAGGAGGGGGTTCAAACAGAACTGCACAGGCAGCACATGGCATTACATGGGGAGGAAGACCTGGAGGAAGCCAAAGCAAAAGCGGATCTCTGAGTCGCCTGCCATACACGCATGCACAGAAGACAGGTGGGGAGGGAGGGGATGAAGGAGGGTGTGACAAAGGAGGGGTTCAAGCAGAGCACAGGCAGCACATGGCATACCCACCAGCAGCGCATGGCATACCCACGAGCAGCGCATGGCATACCCACGAGCACCCCCTACCCATCAACAGCACCCACGTACCCATAAGCAGCACACCCTACGCACCCATGAGCAGCACGTCCCACCCACCCATGAACAAAATGCGCTGCTTGCGGTGGAAGCACTGGAGGGCATCGGCCGGCTGAACGGACTTGAGGCGGCACGCGTGGGGGCGCCACTGCTGGTCCTTCCAGTAGCCCTCGTTGCCGGAGGAGAGCAGCAGGGCAGGCGTGCACCAAGGGAGGCTCTCTCTGCGCAGCAAAGAGACGGTTGGTGGAAAGAAGGGAGGGTTTGCCTCGACTTGACTGACTGATCTTGGCATTGGTTTGGTTTTGGTTTGGCTTTTGTTTGGTTTTGATAAAGGTTACTGCATGTCTACAACATTCTGCCTGCATGTCTACAACATTCTGCCTGCATGTCTACAGCCACTCGCTCTTCATTCTCCTCCCCGGTCTACTCTACTCTGAAGAGCTCGTTTCTTACTCCACCTTCTTGCCTTTTAATCAAGAGATGAGATGAGCCATCACACTTACCTAAGCGCGTCTGGAAAGTACTGCGGGGGGCTGGAGACCTGCAGCTTGTGAAGGGCCACGGGCCGATAGCTTCACGGGTGAGCGGTGATGTGATGCCGGGTCATGCACGGGCGGGAAAACATGAGGGTAGGCAATGTGTTGGTTGGTCGTTGTGAGGGGTGTGTGAGGGGATTGATGGTAGATTGATGGGAGATTTATGAGATAATGCTGGCTAATTCTGGGAGCTTTGGGTTAGAGGAAGGGAGGATTTGTGGGTTAGAGGTTGTATGGGAGGATTATGGGAGTTAGAGGAAGGTATGGTGATGGTGTGCGTATATATGCATGTGAAGATGTGTGTTGAGTGTGCGAGTACATGCATGCCAGCAAAGATAGAAGTATAGCAGAGGCATCACAGTGGAAACATGCACACATGCTCACACGCAGACATGCATGCGCGCATGCACACATGCTCACATCCAGACATGCATGCATGCACACACACACGCGTGCGCGCATGCACGGACACAAGCAGGGTTAACTGTTTTTGGGTTTTGGGTTCAGTGCCACTGCTGCCTGTGCATCGCCGCCCCTGCAGGACCTACTTTTGGAAGCCTTTGTTGTAAAATTTGCTGAGAGCAGTGCGCAGCTGACAGGCGTTGGTGGCGAGCAGATGCAGCGAGAGCACGTAGGGCCCGGGGACAGGCGCTGTGAAGCACACCTGGAGACACGTGGATCGCATAGGATTGCATCGCATGCATGGGAATGTGGTGGAATGCAGTGGAAGGCAGTGGAAGGCAGTGGAAGGCAGTGGAATGACCGTGCATCAATACAAAGGAAAGGACCATTTTGCAGCTAGAGCTACCGTAGTGTGCTAGCCTGTGGGTACATGTTTACCTCTTTGCACCCAGGATGTTTGAATACAAGGACCGTTGAGAGAGAAGAGAGGGTACCTCGTGTGAAGAGGAGGCGGGGCGGTACTTGACTTGAGCTGCCAGTCTCAAGTCGGTCCACCCGTTCAGAGCATCATCCCATGCCGGCGCCTCTGTCACTCTACCCGTTCTCCTGAAAAGTCTCCACCTCTTCTCCGCATCCTCCCCACCCACCCCGCTGTCGTTGCTGCTCCCACTGGTGCTGCAGTTGCCACCGCGGCTGCTGGCACTGCTGCTGCTGCCTCTGATGGTGCTGGTGGTGTTGGTATTGGTCATGGTGGCAGTGGAGGGTGATTCGGTCGAGAGAGAGGAAACAGCGCTGAGTGGTTCTGAGGAGCGGTTGGTGAGGGTGTCAAAGGCGAGTAGCGCCACGAAGAACGCACGCTGCCTGCAGCAGAAAGCAGAGGGCCGATGGAGTGGAGAGGAGCGATTGAGTGGAGAGGGGCGATGGAGTGGAGAGGAGCGATGGAGTGGAGAGGAGCGATAGATTCAAAGGTCGAAATGAAATAAAGGGGCTGTGGAGTGGAATGGGTGATGGAGTGCACGAGGTTGAGGAGGCGGAGGGAGATAGAGTGCGTATGGCAAGGGAAGATGGGAGTACCATGGCATGGCATGAGGGGGAAAGAGGGAGGGAGAGGAGCGGGAGAGAGGGAGGTGTGATGGACACAGCACCTGCAACCAACGTCGAATGCGTCTCCAGCTTCATCGAATGCTGCCACATACAACACCAGCAACAGGCACGACAGCAGCAGCAGCAGCAGCAGCAGCAGCAGCAGCAGCAGCAGCAGCAGCAGCAGCAGCAACACCAGCAACACCAGCAACAGCAGCGGCAGCAGCAACACCAGCAACACCAGCAACAGCAGCGGCAGCAGCAGCACCAGCAACAGCAGTGACAGCAGCGACAGGATGCAGAGACAGACCATGCAAGCCAAGCAAGTGCAAACCAATGCGTGGCATGGGTCATCATGCCATTGTTAGAAGTAGACAGAATGCTTTCTCAGGAGGCCTGGAACCATACATAGGAGTAAGATCGTGAGTAAATGGCAAGTGAAAAGGGTAGCTGTGTGCTGCGTGCTGTGTGCTTCGAGCCAAGCACCAAGGCACCACCTCCCTCCCACGCCCTTGCGACTACTCCCAGCTGTCAAGGATCAGCAGCTAGGCCCCAATCCCACAGCACCCACTGAAAGCACTTTCCTCCCCCCTTTCCGTCTCCCAAGCCCACCAGTCACGGAAAAGCACGTGCGCTGGTTGGCTAGAGAGTGTTCCGCCCCTGCGCCTTCCACCTCCACTCGTCCGAACCTCGCCGCTTCCGCGACGTTCCACCCTTCCCCAGCCCGCCGCTCCTCCTCCACCCCGCACTCCGCCTCCTCCCCCTCCTCTTCCCCACGCATCGGTTCTGGTTCTGCTGCCACCGCGTCCGGCTCTTTTTCCAATTCATTCTGCGCCATCCCCGTTACAGAGTCTCGTCTCCCCTTTTCCCGCAGTGCGGGCCTGACCTCCTTCTCGCTTCTAAGCAGTCCTGCTGCTTCTTCGAGCTGAGACAGCGGCGTCTGCGAGTGGAAGAGCCACACGGGCTGGCCGACAGTGACTGGAGGCCAGGGCGGAGATTAGGAGGAGAGCGCCACCGTGGCGGGAGATGGTGGATGCGGGAGTGGGGGGAAGCAGAACTTGGACCGCAACGCGATAAGAGGTGACAAGAGGCCATATGGGAAAGGTGTAGCGAAAAGCTGAACTTTTGATATTAAAGTCAGGTGCGGCACATTCGCTGCTGCACTCACGCGCTTCCATGTCCGGAGGCGAGTAGCTGAGCACGGCATGGACCAAGTAGCAGACGCACAGCAGCGCGCCGGGCAGCAGCAGGCCTGCCGCGGTGGTGGATGTGAACAGGTGCCGCTGCTCGAGATTCGCCGCTTCTGCCACGCCCTATCCAATGCTTATTAATATTACTACTAGTAGTAGAAGTAGTAGCACTGTTCTCGGACGTGATACGAGTCTATAGTAGGGTTAATGCTGGTGGGAACGGCAGGCCAGGGTAATTCAAATACCATTCCGAGATGAGTCTTTCCCCAAGCTGTTGTTGCGGTCTCTGCTGCTCTGGGGTGGATAGGAAGTACCGGTACACCCTGATTCGCGCTATCATGGATTCCAATATATATCCGTTCGTAAAACACACCGCGTCAAATTTGATGTTATCAACCCAGGTTATAGTCAACTTCGTATCAGTGCGTTCAAAAGAGGTGACTTACGTTTTAGGGCGCTCTGAGAACTCTTTGGAATGGCTGGCTAGGGTTTTATGGAAATATGAAGATTTTGGAACATCCCTTCACGAGTGCCACGTTCAAGGGACAAGAAGCAGCAGCTTACTTAATTGTTTGCTAATATCAAAGACCAAGGTGTACTAGATTCCGCGCCGCGTTTTCGGCGGGCGCGGGGGGAATTGCTCGTTCTGGGTGAGCTCCAACCGAACCTCCTTGTGCCTGCCTTCCGAACCTATTTTTTTTCGCTTGACTTCCGTTGAGTACACTGTAATTCAACTTTTGGGCTTCAAAGACGCGGTGCAACTATCATCTCCACTTTATAGTACAGTACAAGGATACGTGGCGAACATTCAAACACTGTAGTGGGCAGTTTACGTGTCGATCTGAAATGCGAGTGGTTGCGCAGCTCAATTTCTGGAAGATAATTTTGGGATCGATTTCCCGAAACCTGGCAGGTGCATTGCACAGTAATTGTTGACTTGACAGTTCACTCTGACCATTCGATTTTTCACAAACAATCGGAAATAGTTGCGATTTCGGCTTACGCGAACTGAAATCCAAATGATTGGTTCTCGATTCTGCATTTTTCTGACGTCACCAGAAGATGTTTGCATGTTTCACCAGATCAACTGTACTCTTGTTGCAGGTGATGGACGTTGAGAATATGAATGGCAAATCTGCAAACATTTCTTGGGCACGCACTAATTAGTCGAAAACTTTTACAAAATGTTGTTTTTATTTTAATGGAGGGGAGAAAGTTTTGCACCACTGTTTTTCCTCGGTTGTCTTTTTACTTTAACAAATTCTGTAACAGACAATCGACATCGATTGCTTCATCGATATAAATGGCCATGTAGCTAGAAAATTCCTTATAACATTCCGCCACTTTCATGTTGCATTCCGAGTTGTTACGAACAACCAACTTTGTAACAAGCGACCGCTTTGCGACGCTTCACGACCGTGGACAAACCTCTACATACCATACACTCTGCATTGTTTTGCCCGGACTTGTTCGGAACTCACTTGTTACGAGGTCTGGAATGTGACCTCATTGTATCGTTTGTCTTTTGTAATCACATTCTTGATAATCGTTTTGTCAGAACTATATTGTAGGCTGAAGTGGGGCACTCCTTATGGGGTACAGAACTGTTAGGTTTTGCCTATACAAACATTGTACTGTCTTGTTTCTAGTCATTATTCGTTCTTATTCTCACATGGTATTCTGAGCAGGTTCCCTAGTGGGAACGATTTTTTTTTTCAAGGGCCCACCACGATTCATCTTCCATGCCTTGCCCGAAGCGCGCTGCCGCGCCTTCCTGCCCTGTCGCGCGCCTCGCGCCTGCCTCACCTGCGCCGTCGAGCGTCTGCCCTACCGTCGCGGCCCTGCCGTCGCGGCCCTGCCCGTCGCGGCCCTGCCTAACCTGCCGCCCGTTGCGGCCCTGCTTTGCCGGCCGTCGCGGCCCTGTCCTGCCGCCCTTCGTCGCGGCCCTGCCCTGCCGCCCTACGTCGCGGCCCCTGACCTGCAGCCGCCGTCGCGGCCCCTGACCTGCCGCCCCTCGTCGCGCCACCCCCCTTCCCTGCAGCCGCCGTTGCGGCCCCTACCCTGCAGCAGCTGTCGCGCCCCCCCCCCCCCCCCCCCCTGCCCTGCGGCCGCCGCCGAGGCCCCGTGGCCTGCAGCAGCCGTCGCCCCTGCTGCCGCCGTTGCGGCCCTGCTGCCGCCGTCGAGCCTGCAGCCGCCGTTGCGACCGCCGCCGTCGTCGCCGCTGAGGCCCCGCCGTCGCACCTGCCCTGCTCGCCCCTGGTGAGCACCCACCCTAAGCGCGCCACCCGCGCCTGCTTGCGCGCCGTCCAGCCGAGCCGCGCCGCTCCGCCGGGTCGCAGTCGCCCGGCCGAGCCGCGCCGCCCAGCCGAGCCGCGCCGCACTGCCCTACTGAGCCGCTCTGCTCCTCCTACTGCTGCTGCTGCTGCTATTTCTGCTGCTACTGCTGCTCCTGCTGTCATGGCTAACCCTTCGATGATGAGGGTCGAGCAGTTGATTTCGAGGTTTGGGTCGATGATCTGCAGCTGTTTCTGCAGTGCGATTCTAGGGACGGAGTCTCACTGTTCGATCACACATCCGGCGTCTCTGTTGCACCTGCTGCCGATGCTGATAGTGCAGTCCACTCGCAGTGGACCACGCGCGATGCTGCTGCTCGTCTTGCTATTCATAGTCACCTGCCGTCTGCTGAGCGCGCGCACTTTAGCCAGTACAAGACCGCTAAGACTCTGTACGACGCTGTTGTTGCGCGCTACTCCTCCCCTGCCACTGCCGCCCTTAGCCGCCTCATGCTGCCGTACCTGTTCCCTGACCTAGTCGCTTTTGTCACAGTCGCTGACCTCATTACGCACCTTCGCACTAGTGACACCCGCTACCGCGCTGCGCTTCCCTCCGAGTTCTGCGCCAAGAACCCCCCCCTTCTGTACATCACTCTCTACTACCTCGTCACCCGGCTCCGTGACTCCCTTCGCTCGGTCAGGGACCACTTCCTCTCCCTCTGCCCCACCACGCTCACCGTTGACCTCCTCGAGGAGCGCCTCCTTGCAGCTGAGAAGAGTATAGTCGCTGTAGGATCCTCTTGTGGTGACCCTCGTGCCCCTTTCTTTAAGGGGTGCTCCCCCGTCCCCCTTTTGCCCTCTGTTGCCTCTGCTGCTGCTGTCAACCTCGTTGGCACCGAGTCGGTCGGCGCTGCGTCTGCTCCTAGTGGGAAGCGCCGCAACGGCAGGAGCAAGGGGGGCAAGGGTGCTGGAGGAGACGGCGAGGGCGGCGGTGGTGGCGGTGGAGGTGGCGGAGGGGGTGGGGGTGGAGGTGGGGGTGGTGGCGGGAGTGGGGACTTCGGTGGCGGTGGTGGAGGTGGAGGCAGCGCCGGCAGCGGCAGTGGGGGTGGCGGCGGCGGTGGTGCGGGTCGGGGTGGCGCTGTGCAGCGGGGAGGCTTTGGCGGTGGCCAGCGTCAGCAGCAGCAGCGTTCTCGTGAGACCCTGTCGCCCCAGCAGCTTCGTGAGTGGTACGCTGTGCGTGGGAGGTCTGGGGGTGCTGGTCCCTGCGCTTACGTGCTCCGCACTGGCGAGCGCAGTGGGGAGACGTGCGGAGGGCCGCACGCCACGCACCGCTGTTTCGGCCGCCTGACTGACGCCTAGCGTGCACAGTTTCCTGGCTCCACTGAGCTCTCTCGCTGGGGTGATCTACTTAAGT